GAATCATGTTGATATATTGTTTTTGCTGGAAATATTTTAGTTTCTATAATTATTGATACGTGTTGAGCCACATACCAGATTTCATGAGCTGATTTATCAGCCACTACTATCCGTAGTGGTTTCTCTAATCGTACCCATTTTTTGGTGATATTTCTTTTAGCGAAACATAGAGTTGCTCCGGTGTCTATGTATGCTAATAATTTTTTCTTTTCAATAGTTATTTGTATGAATGTTGCGTTAGGGTTTCCTGATTTTAGTATTTTTCTATTCATTTTCTGAATCAGATGATTCAGTGGTATATGCATATATTTCGATGTCAGAGTCAAACTCTGAATCTGATTCGATTGGTTCAAAGCCCATATCGTATGCTATTCGTAGTATTTCTGTTTCTTTTTTCTTTCCTTTTTTAGGACATTCATTTGCATAATGTCCCTCTTCTTGGCATAGCCAACATTTACAATTCTTTTTCTTAGAAGGACAGTATGTATCCTTCTTACCATAGTTTTTCTTTTTGTATTGTTTTCTATTTCTGAAATATTTTTGTGGTATGTATTTTTGTTTCCTATATTTTTTATAAGGAATTTTTCTCCATTTCTTTTTTTTATGTTTTTGGCGAATAGGTTCACAACCATATTTGCCTATTTGTCCTGGTATTGCACCACAACATAACTTATCGATTTTTGCCTCTTGTTTTCGTTTTTCTTGATTACATTGAAACAAATGCCAATCTTTTAATGTTGTTATTCTTCCTCCTAGAGTATTGGGAATTTGTCCCTCATTTACTTTATTCTGGTATATGGTTTTTATTTCTTCTGATATTGATAAAGGTAGTTTATCGAAGAATAATTCTTCGGCTACTATTTTCTTATCCGTTGCTAGTTGATAGTAATGATCTCTAAATTCGCAAATGAATGCTTCAAGATAACACATGTTACAAATTCTAAGATTTACTATTTTCCATAGTGCAACTTCTGATATTTGTGTTTCTCTTAATTGTGCGTTAGAAGTTCTTCCAAGAAATTCTTCTCCTATTACGTCAATTAGCCTAACAAATGTTTCCCATGCAGTTGATCTTAGAATTTTCTCTGCTTTTATTCCTGTTGATAATCCTATTAAGTAGTTGTATACTATTCCTGTTGTTTTATGTTCTAAGTAACTTAACATTTCGTGAGGGTGTAAATCTCTTAGTTCCTTATTAGTCTGTATTAACAAACTTGTACGATTTTTCCAATCTTCTAATGTTCTAGTTGGATTAATTTCACAATCTAAATTTAATATTTCTGAAGATTTTATATTAAATGTATCATATTTGGGAATATATTCAAAAGGAACTTTTCTCCAATTGTTTCCTTTCGGAATATATTGGTTTTGATATAGTTCATATTCATGATCTTTGTATCCTTGATATTCATCATGTGTTCGTTTTTTAGGTAGTGTGTTAGTATTACTATTCTCCCCCCTCTCTAGTTCGGTTTTTACTAGGAAAGGATTATTATATGGATTTTCGTAAGGATTTTCATCGATGCTATAATCTAAGAAAATTTTTTCAGTTTCATCAGGTTGCTCTTCTTCGGGTATATTAAGAGCCGCTAATAATGTTGATAATCTTTCTATCTGATCATCTAGTCCTTCCATTATATCTTTGGTGGTGATCTAATTCGAAAATTAGATTTATCGATAATAATTAATTCTTTTGTTTCTTTTTTAAAATAATTTTGTAAGTCTTTTATAGTGATATATCTATTTTGGTTAAGTCGTTCGATTATTTCTTGTAACTGTTCTATTATTTCTAATATTTTTGGTTTTTCATTTTCATCTGGATCTATTATTTCTTTTCCGTTATTTCTTATAATAATATTATTTACTAATTCTTTAGCTTCGTTAAGTTCTTTTATTATTTGAATTTGTCTGTTATTATTACTGTAATTATTTGTTGTTGTGAGTATTTCTTTGATATTTAGTAGTAATTCTTTTATTTCAACAATATTTTCTTTAATTAGTTTTTCTATAGTTTCCTTCATAGTTTCTGTCATCCTATTATTGTTTTAATATATTCTTTTAATTCCTCAGAGTTTTGTTTTATTTCTTTAATACTTTTTTCTTGTAGATATATTATTTCTTCTAATTTTTTATTTATATTTTTAGTTTCATTTTGTTTTTCATGGTTTTGTTCAAATATTTTTATTAATTTTTGTAGCTGATTTTCTAAATCTGATTTTATATTTTCAATATTTCTTTTTATTTCTTCATGATTTTCTGGATTTTGATGTATGATTCCATAGGAAATCATTTCAACAATATTATTTAGGGTAAAACCTATTTTCTTTATTTTATTTCCGAGATTATGATTAGTATCATCGTCAAAGATGGTACCAATATAATATCGACTTTGATTATGAAGATTTTTAGGTATTGTTATCACCTTTCCCTTATAAGGAAATCCGGGATAACATTCATCTTCATTGGTTAATATTAATGGTAATCCCTTCAAAAAATCAATTTTTTCGTTGTCCATAATCGTTACCTTGCTCTGATACCAATTATTTTTATTCGTCTAATATTAATTTTCCAAATGTAACGTTAAACTAATCAAAATTTAGTCAAACTAGTCAAACTGGTCATACCATTTGAATTGGTCATACTGGTCATACCAAAAATTTTTGGTCAGACTAGTTATTCTGGTATTTCTGTAATTTTATTGAAAATATTGGTTTTTTGGGAGACCCTAGCAATTCTAAGGGTATGACTGTTGCTCTTGTCATTTTTAAGGTTATTTTTGTTATTTTACCAGCTCATTGTGCAAAAACATTCGGATTTTATTATTCACTGTTCAACTCCAAAATAAATAAATAAAAAGGTTTCTTGAACCAAAATACCTCAACAGCTGTAAAAAAAAAAGGATCCAAATTATTTTTCATCTATTTTGTACGTTGACCTATGAGCATGCACCATCACAAAACATAGAATTATGGACTTACAAATCATTATTTTATGATTAACTAATAAAAATACTAACTCCATTATTAACAATAGGTTTGTTTATTTATAAAAAAACAACAGGTTTGTTTAAAAGTTCTAATCATACCCACTTTCAGCACAAGAACCCCAATTTCAATTATTTGGAATTTTTATAATTGATTATTAATTTTTTTATAATTAATTTTATCTTTTTAGAAACGGAATCAAATTAACATTTTTAATTTAATTACTTATAAAAAAATTCTTAAATTTAGGATTTTTTTTACTTATATTTAACACAAAATAATTAATATTTATTTTAATACGATTATAATTAATTTTTCAAGTTGATAATTACAAGTAAAATTGTTTATTAAAAATAATTAAATTTGATAATGTCATTTGTTTTATTTATTTTAAAAATCAGTAAATAAATTTGAGTTTGTTATTGTTAAAATCGTTTACATTTATATTATTCATTGACATTTAAAACTATTAAATTTGCAAACTTTGATTTTATTTGATACGAATATTTCTTTCATGTTTGATATAATTTATTATGTTATTTTATATAAACTGAAAAATAAATTCTAATAATAGAATAACGCGATCATTTGAATTTTGTTAACTATTGGTATGACTTTTGTATAATACGACGGTTACATAAAAAATTGTGTTATTTATTTATTTGTGTAATTGTAACGGCACACGCCCGTTAAGAAATATCGAAATTGTTTCCACTCACCAAAACAAGTGTTTTGTCGCACGCATAGTGAGATATTTTCCAATAGATCACCATCCTTAGATTGTTCTAAAGTCAACACGTTTAATTTTGGAGTTCTTTCGCGATAATCAACCAAAAATATAAGTACTCTTTGTTGCTATGAGTAATTTAACTAATTCTTTTATATTATCTTAGACTATATAATATCATTCAGCTCTCTCTCATTTTGATACGTTCGATTCATTTTTGTGGCCTTAGTGGTACACGGAGAGTCGCTTCTTAACCGTTCTATCTGCACCGATGAATATTTCTAACCCTCATCATAACTCGGAATATCACAGACCCACCAGCTTTTGTTTGGTACATGCTCTAATACCATCTGTAACGATTCGTGATCGCTATGAAATATCGAAACTACCCTTACACACTAACACGAGATCTTGCAGCGTATTTTTGTCCTCATTCGTATGTATATCGAACACTTCTCAATAGGTCACCCATCCTTAGATTGTTCAGCACGCTTAACTTTAGAATTCTCTCGGTATAATCAACCGAAAAGGTAGCTGCACCTTATTGTTATGAGTAATCCAACTAATTCTTTTATGTTATCTTAGACCATATAATCTCATACATATAGCCTCACATCTCTCTCATTCCGATGCATCCGATTCATTTATGTATCTTTTTAGCCTTAGAGGTATTCGGAGAATCGCTCCTTAACCGTGCCATCTACACCGAGGAAAACATTCTCATTCCTCATTATACCACGTGATATCACTCTAATTGTTATGATAATATCTTTTGAAAAGATATAAAGATTTAATTGATACTTTTACTTTATAAAAATAACTAATATTCATTATTTAAATAGAATTGAAGTAATTACATTATTTCTATGTCTGGAATGATTAAGATCTTTACTAAATTAATTTTTTTATAAAAAATCTGCTTAGAGGATTTAAATCTTGAAATTTAATTTTAAATATTGACATATAAAATTTTGTAACTTCTATGGATCGATCAAATTTTATATATTGTAAAGGATGAAAAGAAAAATATTTGAGACAATCTCATGATACTATGATTATTTCTGACACGGATAAAACAATTATATGGTTATATATTTGTGTGAAAATAAAAGAATTATCTTATTTAAAATACATAATTATTTTCCCTAATTATCATCTCGTCATATTATAATATTATAATTTATCAACGCATGTTGTTACAAAGGGATACAAACTAACACGTCAGCCATTTTTTTCTTCACCAACTGCTGCAGAAGCAGACGACGACTTCGAAGAACCGCCTTCGTCTCTCTCTCTCCTTCTTCTTCTTCCGAGACGGAGTCGAATATACTTACATCCATACACACACATAGAGAGAGGAACAGAGAGAGTACGAGCCGGAAATGGGCTGCGGCGGTGGAAATCTCTTCTACCCGGTTCTCATCGCGCTCTCTGTAGCCCTCATCACTTACAACATCATCATCTCCGCAAATGCTCCTCTCAAGCAGGAGTTTCCTGGTCGATCTTCTTCTTCGTCGGAGTTCTCTGTTGATCCAATCATTGAAATGCCGCGCGGCGGCGGAGGGGAGAAGAAGAGGCTGTTCCACACGGCGGTGACGGCGTCTGACTCGGTGTACAACACGTGGCAGTGCAGGGTCATGTACTACTGGTTCAAGCGGGCCAAGGATTCGGGCGGACCCGGGTCGGAGATGGGCGGGTTTACCCGGATCTTGCATTCGGGCAAGCCTGATAAGTACATGGATGAGATTCCCACGTTTGTTGCTCAACCTTTACCATCTGGGATGGATCAGGTACTCTGCAGAGTTTTTCTCTGATTATTTGAGCTTTCAGTCAGTTGTTTTTGCTAATCTGGCTCATGGGTCGCTGAGAACTACGGTATTGCAGAAGAATTTTGGAAAATTCTCATCGTTTGCCTTTGCGTTGGTGTTCGAATTCGAGAATGTTAGATAGGATGAGATAGTGTGTGGATGGTAATCAGTGAAACTTTGCTGATAGTTAGTCTAATATCTCTCTGAATTCTGAATCACAGGGTTATATAGTACTTAACAGGCCATGGGCATTTGTACAATGGCTTCAACAAGCAGACATAAAAGAAGAGTGAGTAAGAAGATGCTTACTGATGAAAATGTTGCCAGGTTTCCTATATTTGGAAGTTTACTTACAGGTATCTGTTATTGGTCTGTAACGTGCAGTTATCTTCTGATGGCTGAGCCTGATCACTTAATTGTCAAACCTATACCAAACCTGGCCAGAGATGGACTTGGGGCCGCATTTCCATTCTTTTATATCGAACCCAAGAAGTACAAGAAGGTGTTAAGGAAGTATTACCCAGAGGAGAGAGGACCGATAACCAACATCGACCCGATTGGAAACTCTCCGGTCATTGTGGGAAAGGTCCGTGCTACTGAGCTTGTTCTGTTGAGTTGAAAATCTTGGTTAACATTTTGGAGGATCTCTTTAAAAGATTGGATGGTATGCTTTTCAGGAAGCTCTGAAGAAGATTGCTCCGACATGGATGAATGTTTCATTGGCTATGAAGAAGGATCCTGAAACAGACAAGGCTTTTGGATGGGTTCTTGAAATGTAAAAGCCTCGGTTAACTTCATATCGGTGTTTTTTACCTTTCACTGATGGAGCAGTCTTGACATTTTTGTATTTTCCTTTTTTTTTTTGGGTGGAATTGTAGGTATGCTTATGCTGTCTCCTCAGCTTTGCATGGTGTCAGCAATATTCTACACAAAGACTTCATGATTCAGGTTAGCCCAAATAGATATAGCTTGAATTATGATTAGTTGGAATACCGACTTTTTCTATTCTTCTTTTCCTCTTTATGAACTGTAATTTGTAGTGATGCATGGTCTACCTGCCAGCGGGCGATTATAGATGAGGAATCTAAATTTAAATGTGAAACCAGATGGTATGAATTTGTGTACGGACAGAGGGCTTGATCGCTACAAGCACAAGTTCATTTATTTTGGAACCATAGTTCAAGAAAGGTCAGGATCTTTCTTGGCGGATGGAGATGAATCACTTCCAACCCTTTGAAATTGTTGTGTAGATTTCAATGAATATGAGTTCCAAGGATTCCGAGCGGTTGACCTTGATTCATCAGTTCAATTCTTGCGAAATTGCATTAGCATATCTTAGTTATTCCATACAATTAGTCCTGTTGGCAGAGGAAAATACTCCTAGCTTTCATTAAAGAGTTCTCACATTGCTTTGCTTGTGTTTTGTGGTCTTGGACCAGCCCCCATGGGACACAGAGGTCGGTGACAAGTACATCATACATTACACTTACGGATGTGACTATGACATGAAGGTAATAGTTACGACTGACCTTTTGATTCAGATATTTGTGATGTGTTTTCTCTTTTTATTTATACCGTAATTTGGGATCTGATGGGAGAATTCAAATCGTTGTCATTCGGGTGATTACAGGGTCACTTAACGTATGGAAAAATTGGGGAATGGAGATTTGACAAAAGATCGTATGATAATTCTCCGCCGCCGAGGAACCTTACCATGCCTCCGCCTGGTGTTTCCGAGAGCGTGGTATGTTTTTTTTTTTTTTTCTGTTTATATATGTGAGAATCTAATCCCATGAACACATGTTGCCTTGCACTAAGAATCCTTCTTAATCCGCACATATCGAATCTTCGTGTTCATACTTGATGCTTATGGAAACGTATACTTGATGGATTCACCACTTCTGATGACCCATCCAATGAATTTTGTTTTCTCAAATTTCTGCTGTGCATTTTATTTCCCATGCAAGGATTATAAGAGTTTTTAAAAATATAATCTTTCAGGTAACACTTGTGAAGATGGTGAACGAAGCCACAGCCAATATCCCAAACTGGGGATCGTAGATATTATATATATATAGTCCTCACGATCCTCTGGTCTCCAAAGTGCATTCTCCGTGTGGTTTTTGTTCCTCTATTCAAGAATCACAGGATGTACATACACTGACTATGTAGAATATGTAAGCTTTTGTATGAGCGTCGGCATTTCCTTATGTGATTATCCCAAAGTGGCCAATCAGTAAACAACTTACTTGAACTTCAAATATCTTATAAATTTCAACATTTTTTTTTTATTTTTGGAATTATTCATCTATATTTGTTCCTCCATATTTAAATACTCTTAGATAATATATATATATATATATATATATATATAGTTTGAAAAAATAAATGATTTGGAAGATATTCGGGGTTTTGAATGGATGGAGTTTTTTTAAAAAAATAGAATCCAAAAACAAAAAAAAAAATTACAATCAAGATGTTATATATTTAGTTTAACTCAAAAACCCATCTTAATAAAAAATCAACTAAAAACCAAAACACTTTTTAGATTTACAAATACTATAAAAACTATCTAAAACTAAAATTTTAAAACAAAAAACTAAAGCCAAAAATTCAAAATAAAAATCATCACCATTCATAGCCAAAGTTTTTTGAATCATAATTATGTGGGAAAATAATATTTTGCTATGCTTTGTTTTGTTCAAAGATAAAATTAATTATATTTTATAGTGAATTTGAAAGTGTAAATGTTTTATATATAAATTATATTTTTTTTAGCTTTTACAATTAGTTTATAACGTATTTTTTAAAAGTAAATGTTAAGATTTTCTTTATGATGAGTCTATTTTTTTTTTAATATAAATGGGATCGTTTAGAGTGTTTAATAAGATGAAACTTTCTTTTTTGTTATCAGATTTTTTATTTGTATTCTTTTTCACATACTTTTTTGGTGAATTGGAGATCAGTCTCCATTGCTTCTTGATTCATTTAGATTTGATTTCAATCAAGTTAATAAAATTAATTGCAAAATATGATTAAAAAGAATAAAAGTCGGTTTCGATGGATTTTCCTTAATAAAACTAAAACAAATATATTTTGAAACACACTAAATAATTATTCAGAAACAGTTTTAAGGTGGGAATGAATTTAAACTAATTAATAACAATTAATATCATTTATAGCACTATCTAATACAAGACAACAGCATCATGAATTATATGTATTTTTTTCCCTTATAATAAACCGAAATAATTGAATACTAATTGAAAAAGCATTACATTAGTCGTGTCTATGAAGCATAACGAACACAATATGCCTTTGCCGGCTGTGTGCCTCTCAAGCTAATATCTAATAAAAAAAAAACATTTTTGGCAATAAAAATCAGAATAAAATAGAATTAAAATCCAACATAAGAAATAATAAGTATATTTTCTTCTAAAATGGAAAAATAATAGAGTAAAGGTGATACCAAAATCCGAAATATTAAAGGGCGTTATCGTAATAATAGACACCGATTTCTGTTATAACTTGCAATGTATGGGTTGCCATAGAGATTGTCGTGGCATAAAATGATAGATGATATTCAACGATTAAGATTAAAAATCATATTCGTGTGGCATAACGTGCTTTTGCGACAGTAGTTGTGCTTAGCCATTACGAGGTGTTGCCAGTTGTTGATAGCGATTGAATTAACAGAATAGACATCCTATTTGTTAAATGATATATTTTTTTTCTTCTGAAAATGCTTTTATAAAATCTATAAAATAACAATTAGAATCTATTAACTAAAATTTCCATTTTTTTTATCAATTTATTTATAGATTCAAAAATCATATATATAGACGTAAATATATACATATATTCATGAATCATACTAATACACACTTATAATGCATATGTCTGTACAAGTACACACATACTTATGCACATATATACATATATATGTATATATAAATATGCGAGTGCATAAACCTATCTATATGTATATATATATTTGTGTATATGTATGTGTATATACAAATATATGTGTATAGGTGTATGCACATGTATATATACATTGTATATCTATAACTGTAAAGTGTAAACCCCATATGTATTTAGTAGCTTTGTTTATATATAATACAAAAGTATTTTGATTTTTTTGTTAAAAAAAAAAAGCTATTAGATTTTCATTTGTTAGGGACGATTGAAATTCTACCGATAAAATCATTTGAGAGAAACTGGATTTTTAGGATTTGTGTCGAACGATTTTCATCTGTGAGGATCGTGTATTTTCGGATAATTATCTTGGCGATGATTTGGATCCGATTTTGTTTTTTTACGCATAGGATAAATTTTCGCCATGTAGGATTTACTGACAATTTTTTACAACGGCTTAATTTAATTTGGCCACAAATAATAAACTACAGAATTTTTTTTACAGAAATTAAAATTACATAGTTTTTTTTAGAGATTTACCCTGGATTTTATAAAAATTACATGAAGTTTTGTTGGTTGTTTTGGGGATCAAAGTTTACGTAATTACCAAACTACCCTTTTGGCATGGCGTTAACAAAAAAAAAAAACCACGCTCGTCCCACGGTTTTATTATCGCTGCCTCATCGTCTTCTCTCTCTCTATATATATTATATATTATATATCATATACCCCACCCTACGGTTTCTGTTTCAACACCACTCATCACTTTTCGATTCCAAACAGATTTTTTTTTTGTTAAACGATTCCAAACAGATTTTGTTTTTTATTTCTCTCGAGAAACTTGTTTTTTGAGTTCTTCAGTTTCGATCTGGAACCAAAATCACACGGAATCGGACTGAGATGTACAGCGAATGCAGCAGCTCTTCTTCTTCGTGGAGATCGGGGAGAGGTCACAGGCTGAGATCACCGATCTGCTGCTTCGGTTCGAATGCGGTGGAGCCGGAGGCGGTTATCGGCCCGAGGACGCCGAGATCGCCGTACGCGTGGCTGAAATCGACCGCACACGAGATTGAAATCAGGGATGGGTGCCGGCGCGTGAAGGCACGCATCAAGGGGACGCACCGGAGCAGCGGCAACGACAACCATGGCCTTTCGGATTTCAGCTACGATCCTCTTAGCTACGCGCTCAATTTCGAGGACGACGTTCGCGCTGACGATGACAAGTCATTCCCGAGTTTCACGGCGAGATTGCCGATGTCACCAGGGAGAAAGACCCTCCCGGCGGTTACTGGTCTGGTCTCCGTCTGATCTATGGCTTGTTTTCTTTTATCTTGATTTGGGGAACGGGATGTACAGGCCTAGGTCGCTCTGCTGAATCGATAATAAAAATGACGTCAGCATGATGTAAAAAAATAACCAGGGGTTGTAAAACTGTAATATATGCTAAATATTCTATATTTCTGATATTTTAAATATATTAAATAGTTTGTGGGATATCTTAGAGCAAACGGTAGATTTAATCTTTGGTTTGGTTCATATGTATATTATTATGGATATGGTGGAGTTCACATATGATCGTATATTTGCTTTGTTGTCTTCCATTACAAACGTTGTTTTCTGCAAATAAAAGACGTTGGTGTCATTAATAATATATAAAGAATAGATAAGATATATTTTGTTTCGAGAGATTTTGTCTCGAATATGAAAGAGGAGAGTCAAATGTAGACGAACTACTCCTGTTACCTCTGCTAAAAATGACGTGAGAGTTTCCCTTCATTATGCTCGAATCAAGGACTAGTCCGATCAATCAGAGGCTGTCATGGGCCTTTCCTTCTAGTAAAGGATTAAGTAATTTAAAAATCTCAAACCCATGAAAATAAGACAACTTTTGGGTAAGAAAAAAAATATGAGTAGGGATATCAATTTGGATCCGAAATCTGACCCGAGTTCTAAATTCCGATCCGAGTCCGAGTTTTATAGGACTAGACTAAAGGCTTGATTTATTCGGCTTGAAAAAAATTGGACCGACGCAAACCCGAGCCCGATATCCTCGGGTCGACTGTGGGTTTGGATCAGACCGGCCCGATAGACATCCCTAAATATAAGTTTAGGTGCCTTTTTACAGTTGGTCTTGTTTAGAAGTGAAATAAGTTGATGAAGAAAATATTTATGAACAGAGACAATATAAATTTCATAATAGTAAATTTAATTTTTTTTTACGGGTGAATGTAATAATTTTGTCTAAAATTTTATAAAATTTATAAAGAAAATATTTAGTTTTAAAAAGAACAATGAGGATTGTGAACCCATTGTTGAATAGTTGGATCCACTCCTGGCTATATATGTTAGTTTGGAGAATGTGTAAATGAATGTTTGTTCAGAAACTTTGAAATCAGAAAGAGAGGTTTGTGAGAACTGCGTTCTGTTTTATATGTGAGAACAAAGCTATATGTGAGTGTGTATATGTCTATATTGATAGAGAGTTACACAATGCATGATCAAAGTATTACTAAACGTAAAAGGGTGAGGAAATGCAAGTCGAAATTTATAAGATATTGAAGTTCAAGTAAGGTGTTATTGATCTTCTAACTCTTTTTTCGGTCATACAAAAAAAAACTCTTTTTTCGGTTTATTATTCTAAATGTTTTTTTAATAGTTCGCAAGTTCCCTTGTTCTTGGTTTTAACTATATCTTTCAAAGTTTGGAGGCAATCTCTGTATCGCAAATGCGGATATTTGTCCCCAACCTACTGCTTGAATATGAGAACTAGAATAAAGACACCCAATATTGAAGAATAAAATACGGGAATTAAATTAGAAAGAAAGAATAAAAGAGAAAATAACGGAAACACTTTTATTGCTACATCTCTTTTTCTTATTATATTACAATGAAAATAATCCATACATTTATAGAAAAAGTTATTGAAAAAAACAAGAAAATAAAGATACGAAAAAAACAAATAAAACAAAATATAATTGACACGATATATGTTTTATTTTTAATTGATATTATGTTTTTAATTATTATCAATCATATCAAATCTCCATATTTTGTTTCTATTTCAACATTCACCCTCAAGATTGATTTTGAAAGAATTCAAAAATCAATCTTGAAGATAAATAAAATGATGAAAAACTTCGTTATTATTAGAACAATTCATAGACACCAAATTTCATTCATTTAGAGAGTATTAACCTTTTTTAATCACTTCACTTGACTTTAAAGTTCTAACTTTAACTCTTTTTGTCATAGCATCTTGCTTAATCTTAGAGTTTTTAGCTTTGACTTCTTTTTGTCATAGCACATCGTTTGAATCTGGTTTTTTTACTCCATTTAGAATGATTTGGATATATGAACATCCAAAACACAAAAGAAAGAAGATATTAGAAAATTAAAAAAAAATATAGTACAGATCGTAACCATACTCTGATATCATATTGAAAAATAAAATACGAAAATTAAATTAGAAAAAAAGAACAAAAAAGAAAAGAACGAAAATACTTTTCTTGCTATATCTCTTCTTTCTTATTATATTACAATGAAAATAATTCATATATTTATATGAAAAGTTATTAAAAGAAATAAGGAATTAAAGATACAACACGATATATTTATTTTTTAATTGGTATTATACCTTTAATTATTATCAATCATATCAAATCTTCATATTTTGTTTCTATTTAACACCCCAGACCTTTTTTCAACCAACTTCACCGCTTGCTTACGCTTCTTTGGGTATTCTAAACATCTGAATTATGATACAAGTACAAAGGAAGGTTGAGATGTCAAATTAAATGGGCCATCTAATCCATTTCAATCCAATCTTATATGATTTAATGGGTTGTGTTATCCCAAATCATTAATAAATAAAAAATTATATGGGTTGGTTAATCCATAAAATGTAATTAACCCATATAACTCAATTAACCAAAGCAATCAATTTAATTTAAATCAAAATATCGACGTTGTGTTGTCCTATGCATACAAATACACTCGTAACATACACACAGAATCACATCACATGCACTCCCAACAAAGAGGCCACATGCGACATTTAAGGTGAAAGAAAATGGTCGACGATCCCACTTAAAATACTGAAAAAGAAAATGGTTGACAATTCAAAAATCCATCAACCGATCGGAAATGATCAAACAAAATTCATACCCATCAATTCATCGAAATTTTCGATTACATTGACTAAGATATTTTACACCTTTGTAGATCGGGATTCAAATAAGATATAATAAATATCATTTCTATATTTATCTTATAATTATTCCATATACCATGGGAACTTTTAAAATATTGGTTAACTTATTTGAAAACAATATATTTACAGGTTTAATCTTAAAAATTCGAAAAGAAAATTTACAAAAAATATATTTTACTAACGCGTCACATGAAAAAAAAAATCGATAAAAACATGATGTATTACTTTATTTTCATAGAATAGAAATTCGTAGATTTATAAAATGTTTAGCTAATTAACGGATTTATTTGGTAATATCGGAGAATTTGTAGACTTCGAGGGCCGTTTTTAGGCTCAATATCTTAAATTGTGCTCTTCGAGTCTCAATATAATTACTGGGCCAAACATAAAAGGGGTATATTATATGTATATATATTATAGGGAGAAATGGATGGTACAACAAACACTCAGCAATTCCTTAAAAGCAATCGCTAATCATCATTAGCCAAGCTGGCAATCTTTATTAGTCCATTGTCTTTTAATCAATTATTATTATTATTATTTAGTAATATCTTTTGTGTGTTTTAATCAATCATTATTAGTTAGTAATATATATTGTTGATGGAACTTTTTTTAAGGTTTTGATCAAGTTTCATCAGCATTTCAATTTCTCCAAATCCAGTGTAGAATCAGTGGTTGATTTTTTTTTTCCACAGGTTGTTTATTAAATAATATCACTAAAAAAATATGATAATAATAATGATATACATGATTTTTCCTTAAATATTCATATTTTTATTATCTGAGATAACGGAATCTCATTTATTTCTTCAATAATGTTAACAATAATAAATAATTTAATTATCCATAAAGACAAAAAGCAGTCGTTTCGTTCCCCTTTTCACAGCTGTCATTATGATTGGCTGTCAACATCCGTAGCTCATCTTACGTCTCTGTCACCAGATCCTAATGACAGACCAATTAAAACTTCAAGTTGTGAGTCACCTTAGCAACGTGTCGCTCTCTCATTGGTTAATTAATTATACCCCTTTTGTTTTGAAGGAGTCCCGTCTTTTCCCTTCTATTCCCATGACTAATAGAGTTTGCTTTCACAGATTTTTTCCTATTTATTTCTTCTTCTTCTTCTTGGCCGTCGTGGTCGTGGTCGTGGTCTGTCTTCGTTATGGCGGTTGCTCGAGAAAATCTACTAGCAGAGGCGAGCGAAACGGCGCCGTTAAATGGGGACACAGAGAATAGGTACGACGTAACGGAGGAGAAGGAAAACGACGACGCCAACACGGCGACGTTCTGCGGATGTGGTGGGTATTTGCGTAATTTCTGCGTAATCCGGTGGCGAAGAGGCACCGAAGTTCGCGGGGGCTGGAATGGCGATTCACAGCAAGAGAGAGGGGAAAGCTGGGCGAAGGAGAAACTGAAGGAGCTGAAGGAGATGTCGGAGAAAATTGCGGGGCCAAAGTGGAAGAATTTCATAAGAAGGTTTAGCACTAACAACAAGAGGAGCAGTAAAAGGAACTTGGATTTCACGTACGATCTCAGGAGCTACAGCCTCAATTTCGATGACGGAGAGCGTCCTTCTTGTGATTTGCCGGCGAGATTTGCAGCTCCGGTCGTCAAAAACGGCACGGAGTTTCCCTCTGATTCTTCTCTTCTTTGATCCAAGAACAAAGGTTTCGTCCTTTTTTGTTTTTCTTTTTTGATGGAATCAGGTCATATACTTTGTAAGTATAAGCATATAATATACATCTGATCGGGTTTGATTTGTTTTATTTATCATTTCGTTTTTCATTAATAAAATGTCATTAATTAAATCCTGAAAATTCATATTACTTTTGAATTAAAATGTTCTAAAAATGTTGAATTTTCAATTAACAAAAAATGCCCATCAAGCTATCTATATATACAGATGTTGGAAAATTATAAGGAACAAAAAAGGAATATACAAAGGTAAATAAACATTACATTTCAAAAACTCTCCCCTATCTTATTCACAATATCATTATGATGATGAAGATCCCATAGATCATAACAAAACTCATTCAAGAGACGAGCAATTGTACTAAAAGTTTTAAACAATACCCAGTATCTTCCCCCTTTTTCATGTTTTATGACGTATCATGTAATTGCACAAAAGTTACTCACTTCTGTCATAATCAAATCTCAACTCCATGTTAGGCGGGTCAAAGAGCCCGGCCCGAGCCCGGCCCGAGCCCGCATCCAATTCGAAGGTATTGGATTGAGGTTTGGGCTAGCCCAAATGTTTTCGAACCAAGTTCAAAACCCGACTCTATAAAATTGAATTAGATATCTTATCCAACATTATCTGATGTTTCTAGTTATAAAAACACAAGAGACACCATCAAAAGTTGTAATAATTTAGCAGTTTTCGTGCGAGAAGTTGCAATTGTTCATGTTCCATATATTTAATACGGTCTATGTTAAAAGTCTGAGCAAAAATAACATTCTCTCAGAAAGTTGACACGGTTCTTATTGCATCTAACATGCCCTTGTCAAATATCTGAAGAAAAAACAACATTTTCTCAGAGAATTGACATGGTTAGTGTTGAATCTGACACTATTCGTATTGCAAATAACACAGTCTGTATTACATTTGACACAACCTGTATTGAATTTAACAATGTCCGTGTTGCAATTAACACAACCCGTTTTGAATTTCTGCACATAAATTTTACTACTATATACAAGTATATATTTCACTAAACGCATGTATATATTTTTCCAATTCATACTATATCATTTTTGAACATGCAACTCCTTCACTATAACTGTAATATATATAAATTTGAATCACATGAGAGATCTATTAAATTCATCAATTTATCCTAAAATAAACAATATTTTTAAACCTTGATTGAGTCCGTTGACCTAACCAAATACCGACACAAAATGCGAAGCAACGCTGGACAAGACGAAGGAGGGAGGTAGAGCCCCATGACGGAGAGGATCTTTTCCAATGAGAGTCACTACAAAAAAAACATGTCAATTTCAACGGATAAATCCGTTGAAAATGACCCAAAATCCGTTGAAATTATACAATTTCAATGGATTTTCAACGGATAAATTTTGTTGCAATATTCTCGTTGAAAAAATTATTTCGTTGAAAACCGTTGAAAATATCAACGAAATTTCAACGAATAATTCCGTTGAATTTTTTCAACGGAATTTTCAAACCGAAATCCGTTGATATTTTTCAACGGAATTTTCAACCGAAATATGTTGATATTTTTCAATGGATTTTTCAACCGAAATTCGTTGATAATTTCAACGGATTTTGCAACCGAAATCCATTGAAAATTTTACGAAAATTTTAAAACATATTCTGATCCCGAACTCATACTGTCTCGACTCCGACTCGACCCCGACCCCTAACCTGAATCCGACTTAATCTGAACTTTGTCTCCGTATCCAATTTGACTTCGGAAACTCTGAAATTGGAACACGAAATCCACTTCCCAACAGGTCACATATCCTTCCACTGTTCCATCACAAGCACGCTTAACTGCACAGTTCTGATTAATACACTTACAACTGCTCCAACTTAAATTTCTGATATAACAGAATATTAATACATATACATATACAAATGTTAATATGTATAAATACTTAAACACATATATACACTTATACATATATATATATATATAAATACTTATACATATGTATATACAAGTACAAACATTTATATATATACGTATAAATAATTATACATATATGTACACATAAAAATATTTATACGTAAATATATGTATAAATGTTTATTCGTATATATATACAATATATACAGTATCTAACATATCACTATAGTATAAAATACATATATATATACAATATATACAGTATCTAACATATCACTATAGTATAAAATACATATATATATATATACAATATATACATATTTATATGTATCAATATTTATATATATACATGTTTAAACATATATACGTATACATAAAATATTGTTTATATATAAATATATATATATATATATCCAATCGATTTTCCAAAAAATATCCGTTGAAAAGCTCAACCGATTTTTTCAACCAAAATTCTTCTAAATTTCGTAAATAATTTCAACCGATATCCATTGAAATTCCGTTAAAAATTTCAACCGATTTTTTCAACCGAAATCCGTTGAAAATTGCAACGGATTTCCGTTGAAATATCATTTTTCAACCAATATCCGTTGAAATTCCGTTGAATTTTTCAACCGAAATCCGTTGGAATTTCGTTGAAATGTTTCAACGTCATTTTCAACGGCAATCCGTTGAAATTATCAACGAAATTTTAACAGATTTTATCGTTGAAATGCCGTTGAAATTCGTTGAAATTTCGTTGAAAAATTTTCAACGGATAAATCCATTGAAAATCGCGTGTTTTTTGGTAGTGAGGTAACCAATTTTCAATCCATCATGAAGATGGTGGCGAAGAAATATCATTGCTTTCGTTTTATCTTGGGTGGATGATTTATTCGATGCAACAATGGTCTCTTTGAGACCTTTAGATTCCAAATGGATCTCCATATCAAACATCCATGACAAGTAATTCTTGCCGGTAATATCAAAGACTTCAAAGTCGAGGTTGGTCAGATTCGACATGATAAAAATATAAAAATATTCGAAATAAAAAAAATAAGTTATTAGATAGATTTAGAACTTTTCTGATACACAAGATCTAAATATATAACGAGCGTAGAGCATATTTAGTTATAATAATTATATAATATAGTATAAGAATAAAATATATAAATGAATAACAATAAAATTACCTTGAAAAGTGTTTGTGCTCATAATGTGTTATAAAAATAATAAGAACTAAAATACAAAAAATAGATATAAGAAGAGAGAGTATTTCTTTTAATGTTCAATTAATAGATAATGGTTATTGGAGACTAGAATTTTTGTGGACCATGGGTTGGGCCGACATACAAAAAAACGAATATGTATGAAATCCATCATTTTTTTTTTCACTTGAAATAGAAATCAGTAATAATACCACTAAAAAATTTAATTTCTATTTTAATTTAGTTATTTTATAATATTAGTATCTCATTAATATTTGGTACTCTTTTATTATTCATAATATTATTATAATATTGTACTGATCAAATAGGTGGGATTCGGAGATTGTGATTTTCAATTAAAAAAATATAAGAAATATGTAATTACAGACAAATGAAATATAGTATCACTACTATAACAAAATTATCTAACGGAAAAATAATAGTTTTACAGTTTTAGAAACTGATTTTGATATTTGTCCGCTTGGGATGTGAATATTTCAACATAGGTTAGACTCGAGCCCGAAATGTTAAGGAAAAAATTCCTAAAAATTCTCTAGGTAGAAAAATAAATTTTATATTTTTTAATATGTCTAATTATTTCTAAACTTGAAAAAAGTGACATAATAATTTCTAAAGTTGTTTACCAATTTCATATTGATCTATAACATAAGTTAAACAAAATAATATTTTTATAGAATCTTATGTGGCACGAGAGATATCAAGACACGTCAGAATTTTATATTATATATGCAGAACTGGATTTAATAAACTCAGTTTAACAAAATCCGTTCGAACCAGTTTTAATAAATTATACAATATATACATATTTATATGTATCAATATTTATATATATACATGTTTAAACATATATACGTATACATAAAATATTGTTTATATATAAATATATATATATATATATCCAATCGATTTTCCAAACAAAATCTGTTGAAAAATTCAACCGATTTTTTCAACCAAAATTCTTATAAATTTCTAAAAAAATTTGAACCGATACCCATTAAAATTCCGTTAAAAATTTCAACCGATTTTTGCAATGGATTTCTATTGAAATATCATTTTTCAACCGATATCCGTTGAAATTCCGTTGAAAATTTCAACCGATTTTTCAACCGAAATCTGTTGAAAATTGTAACGGATTTCCGTTGAAATATCGTTTTTCAACCAATATCCGTTGAAATTCCGTTGAAAAATTCAACCGATTTTTTCAACCGAAATCCGTTGAATTTTTCAACCGAAATCCGTTGAATTTTTCAACCGAAATCCGTTGAAAACTTATTTTTCAACTGAAATCCGTTGAAATTTCGTTGAAATGTTTCAACAGCCATTTTCAACGGCAATCCGTTGAAATTATCAACGAAATTTTAAGGATTTTATCGTTGAAATGCCGTTGAAATTTCGTTGAAAAATTTCCAACGGATGTGATTTTTCAACGGATGTATCCATTGAAAAAATCCGTTGAAAATCGCGTATTTTTTGGTAATGAGTGGTGGGGCTAACGGTGAGGGTGAGTGTACCAAGTCTAAGGGACAGAGGTAGGGATGGACACGGGTCGGATATCCGAGTTTTTTGAGATATCCGTCTTTGTTTTCGTTTTCGCAGGTCTTAGAGAAATGTTGTCTCTGTCTCACAACATCTGGATACCCGCCCAACGAGTACCTATAACTAAAAAATTGATACCTGCGAATACCCGTACCTCTATATAAAATATTAATCAATATAAAATTAAATCAAATAGTCAACAAAAACAAAAATATTTTAGTCCAAAACCACATTTAAAGTTTGAAAATTCTTAAAATATGACAATATGCATAGAATCCTAGAAAAGTTTTCCAAAATGCAAAATGATTTGAATTTGAATTCATCAAAATTTGAAGCTCTAATATATAATTCTGAAATATATATAAAAAAAGTGTAATTTGTTAGCAAATAAACATTGATTTTATTCTAAAT